TTTCATTGTGTTATGCCTGTATTCCACACAAACGTGACTACAGAATTTACCCAATGGTGTTTGACTCCTGTAAGTTACTTATCACTTAAGTACCATTCAGAAACCACTTAGATGCAACTGTATTGCACTGCACTACCAGGGATGCTGCTGTTGGGAGAAACAAGCCACTTTCTTGAACCTGTAAACGTCAGAGACTATTCACTAACCAGTGTGTGCAATAGAAAGTAAAAACTTAAACCCCATAATACTAAGTGGTAGAGATGCTAAATTAACTTTTTAGTAATAACAGGAATAGTGCAAAGTGATTTCAATGACTGATTTTTCTAAGATAGCTTTATACTTCATGATAAAGTGAGTTATGAGAGGTATCAGCATGAATCAAATGACATCACACAGTGAATGTGAATTAAGCCTAGGCAAAACCACTTTTTTTACCTGTCTGAAGCCCAAATAAGTTATGAGACTGAAGAAAAATTAAATTATCACCACATTTTAAAAGAAAAAATAGTACTTAAAAATAAATCTAAAAGTAACTCAGATCAAAACACCTGAAAGGTTTGTGGAAACTGTCTTTGAAGTTGCAGAAGACTGAGAAAGCTCCTGTCCTATGGACAGGACTATACAAATGTTGACAAGGTAGGAAATTCTTCCCCCCTGTAAAACTGTCTGTCATAGACTATTCGTTAAGCAAACACGTACAATAGAGAGTACATTCTTCTTTAAGGTGTATGATTTACAGGGGAAGCTAGCGAAGGGATGGAAAAAACCCAAGCCTTTATTAGAAAATTATTTGGTTAGTTACATTTACCTTGTACTGAGACTTGCAGTTTTTGTTCCAGTAGGTGACTCTAATCCTTCCCCTGGCTTTGAGGATTTCTCTCTGTTCATTTGCTGGAGTATTGAGTTCAATTCACTAATAACATTAGCCTTTGGGCCTGAGAGAATTGGGCTTTTCACCTCCGTCATGTCACCCCATAGCTTAGATGTCCTTTGGGGAACAACTTTAGCCATATTGGGCTGTGCACTGATCGGAGGTGGGGGTGGAGCGGGAGGAGGAATAACAAAGCTGTCTACAGTTTCTTCAATTAGCGCATCCTTGTAAAGTGCATTGCTTTTGTTGATTATGGGCTTCATTTTTGGCTTAGGAGGTACTGGGGGTTTGTCCACCAGAAATGTTTGCCCATCTGCATAGACTGTACAAGTATCCACGTTCTCACCCCCTTCCGAGGATAAGGTAGAGATGCTGGACACCGTTGAGATAGTGCTGGTTGTCTCTAAGTGATGGTCACTACTACTTCGACTGTCTACCTCCTCAATCCCAGAGTCAGTGACATTATCAAAGCTGTCAGGGGGCGGCAGAAAGGAGGCAGGCAAACAGTTTGAAAGACCCACTTGCTTTTTACTGTCTAAGGAATTTGTTGACTGGCTGGGGGCAAATGGCGCGGGTGAAGGTGTGCCATTTTTTCTTTGCTTAATCAAATCTGTTAGAGCCGAACCGGGAGCTGCACGGTCATCAGGGATATCAAAGCTGTTGGCGAACTCTAAGGGGGGTGGTAGTGGCTCAGTAAAAATAAACTCTTCATCAATATCAACTGATGCTAAGGGTGGCGGAGGGATGCGGAAAGGCAAGATGACAGGGTCGTCCACAGAGCTCGCTGCTACGATGGTTTTGCAGGGAGATGCCGGTGGCTCAGGTGCAGCAGGCACGTTCAGCTCACTTTCTGCTTCCTCGCTCCCCTCTGGCCTCTCTGGTGGGGAGTTTTCAGGGTTCGCTTCCATTTCAGCTCCCTCTTCCTCTTCATCTTCGGGCGTATCATCTGACTTGGCTGTGTCCACAGTATGAACCATTAACAAGCCAGCTGACTTTTGCTGCGAAGTATCCACAATGTTTATCAGCATGTTTTTCTTCTCCTCAGCTTTCTTTTCTTTCCCTGCATCGGTTTCATACTTGTTCTCCGTCTCCTGCCGTCTCAATGGGCCACGAGTATTTTGCCTAGTGACAGTAGCGGTAACAGGAAAAGTCGTTTCAATATTGGGTCTCAGCTTTGTATCGATGTAAAGTGGTTTATTAAGGTCAGCTTTAACAGCATCTCCTTTGCCTGGAATCTGCTGTGTTTGCTCTTTCATGGCTCTGTCCCTGGCAGAGAGAGCGAGGGCTAGTGGCGAGTTTGGATCTAACAGCTTTCCTGTGACTGGGTGAACGTAATTATCTGAGCTGGATGCATTTGTGGACTTAGCTGCCACTGTACTGTTTTCAGTACCTTTCGTTTTGGACGAAGCATTTAATGTCCTTGAATCACTTTGATTGCTGGGTTCACTGCTATTAAAAAGATTTTCAGGCTCTCTAGGTGCTGGAATTGGAGATGGCGACATAAGCTGTCTAAAACCATCTTCACTACTAAACATTGCTTCGTCAGTAAATTTAGATTGCCTCATACGTGGTGTTGGCGGTGTTAGTCCAACATCCTCATCTCCTAGGTCTGTGGAAAGGAAGGCTGGAGAATTACGCCTTGCTTCCAGCCTCTTTTCCCTGTCCCTCACTGCTCCAGCAATGGCTGCTGCAAACGGACTGCTGACACCTAAGCTATCATCGGGTCGGAGTTGCCCAGGTTGCTCTGAAGACTGAGGATCGATTTCCATGCTGCTCCCTTGGCTGCTTTTCCCACTGCTGCTGGTGGATGGCTCTTTCACAATAATTGTCGGGATTGGAATAGAGCAGGTCTTCTCTGGACTGTCTTCAACATTGGATTGTTTCACCAGCATCCCCTTCCGCCTCGCTGGTTTGGCCGGCACGTAAACTGCTTTGCTTGCAATCTTCCCGACCTCAGAATATGGATTTTCTGGCATCTGACCCCGCTTGTTCCTGAAATTTGCCTGAGATGCGGCACTCCGACTGTATAGGTCTTCAGAGTCCAGAGAGTATCGGTCCAGTTCTCGTCTGTAATAGATCCCTTTGTCCCTTATCATCGTTCCCACATTCTCAGGCCTCACCAAAGTAATTTTTGAACCTGAATTCTGATTAAACGGAGGTTTAATAGTTCCATAGCTCCTTGATGTCGGGGACTTGGGAGAGTTGTACAGAGAGGGAGAAGGTGGTGGTGGTGAAGGCGGTAAGGACTGTGGTGGTGGTGGGATATCTTCAGAGGTGTCAGGCATTGAAAGACTTCTGGTAAACTTCAGCATAGGAGGAGCCAAAAACTGCCGTTCTTCCTCTGTTATTCCTAAAAATCAGAAAGTATATTTAAAACACTGTCTTCCACTGGGATCCCTCATATTGCATTATTTCTGTATCCAACCTAAAATGCCAGGGTGCATTTCACATGACAGGAGGCATGTGCAAAATTACAAAAGGGGTCTTTTGGTTGATTCCTACCATAAGCATTCTTTCTTGTTGAACTTCCAGAGACCCAGATGCCAGAATTAAAAAGGATGCTACAGAATTTTAATTAAACTGATCACTGAAGTCTAGGCAAATGTTTTGGTTTTATGTATCACCAAGGTAGCTGTAGAGAAGCACATTTTCTTTCAAAATTATTGAACAGGGAAGACATTCTGTGCAGAAGAGTAGCTTATGCTTTGCTCTAGCACTCTATAAATGCATATAATAATGCAACTTAGAAACCAAATGAATTTTTAAGATGCGTTTGAAACTTAGCAAAGGGACTGCAAAGATTCTATTGGGGAAAAAAAATCATTATGTTTCATTTCAAAAGATGATATTATATTATTACAAATATGGCTTTTAACATAAATAAGCTGGACAATATTGGGATAATTTAGATGCTAATTTTACATCAGCATAATGCATTTCTAAATTGATAAATATCACTGCTAAGATTACTACAAGAACAAAGCAAGCCCAAATTTGGTCTGCTCTTTTTTTGTCTTTTGTAAAATCATCTATTGTCATCATTTGGAATGAAAAAGAGGTAAATTTTATTCCATTTGATCAACAGGGATTCCTTTGTAAACTACATAGCGTTACAACACTTTTGCCTCAATAACAAAGAAAAAAAGAATAACATTTTGCGCTAGGTAATGCATTGCAAAGGGCTTGTACTGATCTTTTTTTTTTCCCTTCTCACTGCCTTTCCTTGTTTGAGGGAACATTCTAAAGAAAGGAATTAAATTATAATTCCATAATACTTGCCTAGTGCCATCAAAGCAGAATGTGGAAATTATATCATCTTACACACAAACAACTTTTCTCATGAACTTTGTATAAAAATTAAACAGTCATTCACTGAGGTAAAGATGTTGGAGAAATATGCTTTAAGAAAGAAGCAAAGTTACTAAAAGTATGTGATTAATGCACAAGCAAACTATACATGAGAAGCATTTTACCTATAGATTTTTGTCTTCTCATTGTACCCCGAGGTATACCCAGAAAAGGACCTTGAGCACTCCCTGGTACAGTGGGCGTCATCACAGCAATACCCTGTCTCTCATACATGGACTACAAAAAAGCAAACAAAAAACCCCACAAGCATTAAAGCATGCAAGTCTTTCTCTCACATGTAAGTAACTCTTCTGTCACATCTGGTAATCCACTATCTCTTTTACTTAGAATTCTTATGGAAAATAACAAATTTGGTATTATTTTGGGGAGGAAGTGAAGAGAAAGGGAAGGCTGGGCTTTATTTACATGTTCACAAAATGACAACAGCTGTAAGTGGAGTTAGTTGAAATTATTTACGAGGCAATTTGTTCAGTTTCCAGCACATTTTGTGTGCTGTGAGAAAAACAAAGCATGAGCAATAGCATTTTGTTTCATTCACTTCCAAAACCCTAGCCACGCACTGCACAGGTGTTAAGGTTCATTCCGCACCAAGCTGTATGCTCGCTTCACTTCTGAAGAACAGACCGATTCTTAGAGTCTTGCACAGACCCAAGGTGTCTTGCTCAAGGTTACACTGGCAGTCAGCATCTCAGCTAGGAACGGAGGAACGCCACCTGAATCCCAATGCACTCAACTGTCCCTCCTTCTTGTAGGTCATCACAAAACTATTTGTTTTCTGCCATTTAGAATAGCCTTAATTTCCTTCCATCCCAAGATGCTGAGAACAGCAAAGTGCTGCTTGTATATCAGAGCTGATGCTCTTTCAGAGGGGTGGGCAATGAAAAAATACATCTAAAATGCAATAAAACTGATTGTTTTTTACATGCAAAGTTCTGTAAGAGCAAATTCTGCAATTGAGTAATTTGATTTCAGAGTTCTGGACTTTAAATTTTTAATACATGCTATAGTATTAATGCCAATTCTTCCCTTACAAATCATCATGTATTATTTAATCAAGGTATTATATATGCGATTAGGAATAATAAAAACCTGCAGTAGGAGAAACCTTCACATCAGTGGAAATTGTGTGGCTGCACTAACTCTGGTGCTGAAACTGAAATAGCATACCTTGACTTTCAGCAATGTCTTTTAGCTTGGGTTTAGTGTTGTATTGACACCTTCAAGTTCAGAACTTACTGGCGTCTCACCAGCTCAGATTACAGGCAGAATAAGTTCACATCTGTTCGAGTAGCACTGAGGTAGCAATGTTGTTGATGTGACCGTCTCAGAATAAATATAAGGATATAATGAGAAAAGTTTTATAGAGCTATGTAGACTCGTCTGTTAACTAGTATTAGAAACGCAGAGTAGACCATGCCTTAAAGGTACAAGATAATAAAAGTGAAATGAGTATATAAAGCAATATTTGTAAATTAATTTCTGTTGTATGCCTTGCACACTGCCAAAAGACTGTCTCCAACCAGTTTCAGAAATGAAAGCAGTACTCCAGAGCTACCACTCACATTCATATCTGTAGCTGAGGGAAAACATCTACTAGAAGGCCGCTGTTTAATAGTTGCCACTCTTGAGTCCACAGTTGCATTGTCTGCAATTCTTGATGGCTTGGAAACTGGTACTATTTCATCCACCTTATCTGTAATATAAAAGTATTCAGTAAAATAAATATCATTTGTCCAAAAACTGAAAATTTAAGTATTGCAAGGTCAAAGGAAGAGATTTACTTTTCAAAAAAATGCAAAGAAAAAGTTTTTTTGGCATTTTAACAAGGCAACGCTTGAGCATCATAAGTCGTGCAAGCCGAGCACTTTTTATTGCTGCTACATAACATGCATGCTTTAGTTTTAAGCCTGCATGCATTTAATGTTTACTTAGTGTGACTCGAAAAACAATCCTCTTCTTCAAACCTTCAAAATGTGAAGGGAGAATATCTATATAGAAATGGAAAGAAGACCTTTAGAAATAATGAATCTGTACAGCACTGTTTCAAATAGAGATAAGCAGATTGTGCTTAGTCATCAGAATTTCAGTGATATTTTGGACAATAACAAGTATTCCAGAAGTGCTCTTTTATGCCTATTCTCCTTAAGTAATCACATCCTAATTTATTCACACTCTTAGATTATTAGATCAGCATTAGCAACTGCATCATTTGTTTAAATGAAACTTGAATATGTATTTTATATTTTAATAACTGGACAGTCTGGGAATCTATTTAGTTTTGGTCAGAAGGAGACCAAACAGGCAAAGTCCAAATCTGAACGAGAACTTCAACATTTGGATTTGGGATTCTGATCTACTGTGTGACGTGATGATAAAATATAGGGAAAACTTTAATCAAAATCTTCCAAAGCTGAGTGTTAGTTTTAGCCCCGTCTCCAACTTTGGTCACAAATAAGGTTCATCAGCATTTAAGACATAACGTTGCTCCCTCAGACTGAAGACCTCAAAGTACCATATAATCAACTGATTATAGCCTGACAGCTTCTTTATTGCCACTTCTGCTATTATGAAACTAAGGCATGGAGAAATTAAGTGACTAGCCTAAGCCAGCAGAATAGTTCCATTTTTGAATCTGTACTAGAAACCAAACTTGAATCATACCAACAGGTTTCCTTACTATGCCTTCCATTGTATTTGCTTTCCTGTATCATGATCATGTTAATTTACTGTCTTTTCCTTTGAAGTTTCACCAAAGTAAGGATTAGTTACATAGCCTGTGGTATTTATGTGAGTGAAATACCTTAGCCTGGCACCTGGGCTTCCACAATGTGAGACAGAGCAATGTTACTTTCCGGCAATTAGATTCATCTCCCAAATGGTTGATCATTTGCTTCAGCAAACAACCATAGCTACTTCATTAGGATACTACAGATTAAAACAAAACCCAGGTTTTTGGTGGTCTAGAGATGGTGTTACTATGCCGAGTATCAGATTTAGGGATTTAAGTTTTACCTCTCATTGGAGAGCAGCGCACTCAGGGCCCTGGATATGGATATGGATGGGAATAAGGCAGGAGGAAAAGATCCCTCTAAACAGTAGATCTGGCTGATGCAAGGATGATATTTTAAATGGGAGAAGAAGAGAGGGAAGAACTTTTAGCCTTCTGGTTAGGAAGAAGGTTGTCCTAGAAGTGGATATTTCAGTGTCACAGAGGGTCGGGGAGCAGGCAGGAAGGGAAAGGTTGAGCAGAACCAGTAAGCTGAACACTGTTGAAAACTGTCTCACAAGAGTAGTGTTGCTGTTTCTTTTCAATTGAAGTTAGCATTCAATTCTTTTCATTGGTCTGCTTTATTTTTGTGGGTTTTAAATCATTCAGAGGAAGGAGAAAAGGAAAAAAAATTCTTAAAGTCATCACATGTATTAAAAAATAAAACAAACTTCAAGTCACATTTCATAAGACTTTCTAATACAAACTGTGAACCTCTGAAAGAAAAATATCTGCACTTCTGCTCAGCAAAAGGCATCAGAAAGCAATGGTGTAACCATCAACATTTGACCTATACAGCAAAAATATGGCTAGACTGTAGAATCGTACTCGGGGGATCTATCACCAAGAGCTTCAACTGGGCAGAGATGTCCTGTTAAGTCTCTCCCACCCTTTTTATCATCCCAGAAGCCAAACAACTGGTCTTTGGGATACAGAAAGAAGTAAGTTTTGGAAACTGAAGCACTGGGTACTCAAAATCTGTAAATAAGAAATATAAATATACCATGTAAGAACTGATCCCTTTTATTTTTAACAGACACATGTAACCATATACCCATTCAGACAACAAAAAGCTACAGGG